ATTGACTGACCAGTGTCTCTGTATAAACAGCTGCTGCCAGAAGATGAAAGTAGGGCTCTGGAGGGTTGCCCCTTGTGCCAACAGGGGCAGTAGCCAGGAAAAATCACTGCGCTATCACAGTATCACTGCGCTATCACAGTATCACTGTGCTATCACGGTATGACCGCTTGGAAGCAGGCCAGTTTGGGGACAGCAACTATTCAGGAAGAAGACCAAGGCTGACTGAGAAGATCTGGGCAATGAGCATGAATTAATGAAAAGTTACCACCAGATTCAGGTGTTATGAAAGGGCATGGCAGAGCATGCTGAAGAAAACCCATATGAATCATGAAACGTAAAATCTGTGTTGTGGGAAAGCACAGAGCACATGCAGTGAATAGAGAGACCCAATTCAAGCTCAGAGACAGTGCCGGGGTAAAACAAACTGACACATTAATCAGCCATTGAATAGGAAAATAAATCTAAATTGGCTAAATACTTTCTAGTACATTTATACAGTGATGTACAACTTACAGATTTTTTTTTCATTTTGCCTCTACATGAATAGGTATCTGTCTCTGCTGAGGCAACAAAGGACATCAGTCAGTCACACACTCAGAGAAAAAGTGTTGAGAGAAAAGACTTTGTTGGACTGGTGAGAACCATTTTCCTCTGAGGTGTATGCTGGACAGCTCTGAAGCTGAAACAGTAAAAGATTAGCAAAAGTGGGTTTAAGCTGTGGGACACAGTACAGGATCTCACTGATGAAACCCATTTTTGGTAATTTTCTATCTCACAGCATACAGCCCAGTAAGAGCAAGGCTGGAGACACCAAGCCAGAGGCAAAGCCTTGCCTCTGTCTGGACAAGAAGTTTATAGCAAATTCTAAGATTTGGACTATGACAAAACCCTCCGACAAAAGTGCAAAACCCATGTCCAGGGATAAAACCCATGCATCACTGCAGAAAGAGAAGGTGCACCAGTGCTTTTGCAGGTTGAATTCAGGACACTGCCATCTGAGCAGTGCAAATTGTGTGTTTAAAATACCTTCCAACATCTCCCAGAAGGTTTGGCTTGTTTATTCAGTCCTATAGCAGCAGCCTCTCAGATGGCCTCTATCTTCTCCAAAAGCGTGTTAAGCCTGGCCTCCAGAAGTGCATCCATGACTCTTTCCATTGAACAGCACAGCCATAAATCATGGCCCTTTCTTACAGATCAGGAAGGGACATTTGGAGAATAACTAGTCACCACCAACCTGGGAGAAATTGAGACCAGTAGGGAGGTAAAACCATACGTTTCGATGAAGCTGACATCCCACCAGAGCACTTTTTTAATTGTTATAGGACATGCTCGCTGTTTTACAGTTAATTAAGAAAATCATAAAGTAACAAAACTGTTCTGATTTGTAGTAAAAAGGCAACCATGTGCTGCAATTACGTCCCTGAAACACAGTTGAATAGGTTATAATAATTACTGTGGGCTTGGCTCAGCTTTTGGAGTTAGACATTCAAAAAAATCGGATTTAGTAGGGTAGTGCTGAGATAGGAAGTCTGGGGCAGACTACCTGCGAGGGAAACATCCTTCCTTCTCTTCCTGGCCTCCCCTCTGTGCCTGGTTTAGAAGCAGGCGGTTTGGAGCAGAGCTCTAGCAAGACAGCAGCGCAAACCACACAGCTGGCGCTGCTGTTGGCAAGGCGCGCAGCTGTAATGCTGGGAGACAGGCTTTGCTTGCCAGCTCGCTCGGGGCATGCCCTGAGGACTGCAGAGCGCCGAGACCGCTGGAGACGAACCGCGCTGAGGTTTGCAAGTGCTACCGCAAGACAGACAGTAAATAATACCTTGTCAGCAGGCCACATTATTGAATAGCAATAGCTTTCAATAATAAGTAATTAGTGTCACATACAGACCAGACGCTTAAAGACAAAAAGTGCTATTGCTCTTTCTTCGATGAATACAGTGCTGAGGTCAAGCTGGGAATGCTTTATCCACCTGCTGGACTGCAGTAAGGAGCATCCACAGGGGAGGTGGGATGGTTCCTTTGGCAGCCATGTGCCCAATTTGTCACCTCCTCCAGCTCCCAGGTACTGTTATTATCATGGCCATTCTGCTTTGATGGCATGTCCAGGTCTGTTTGATTTTTTTCCAGGCCAATCATTGATTCTCTCCAGCTCCAGTGCAGTGGCTCCCAGCCCAGGAACGGCCTCACTCCTCCACTGTTGAGGTCCCTTGCCTTCCCTGAGACGAAGAGAAACCTCGGGGAAGCAAGCAGAGGCTAATTTGGGCTTGTTCAATAATATGGACATGATTGGTACTCTATTCCTCCACTTGTCTTGTGTATCAAACAGGGACAACATCTGTGTCGTTCATGTTGAGCATGTCACCTTTTCATTCATAAAAGACAGCCTGTATCTTTAATCACTTTGCCAGAATAATACCAAAGAAACAAGCACTTGATTGCCTCAGTTATCAGACACTATTGGAAAAGTCTAGATAAGGATGCTGAACAACCTTGACTTATTAGTATTCCACATGCAAACGCTTCCCCATAACCCAGAGTCATCTGTATCCCAGCAACCCTTAAAATTTCATTCCCACTGAATTGCCAGATCTTTATCAAAATATAATTACAGTCTTAATTTGAAAGATAAATTTTGATTGCCTCTGCTGTGCCAAAAAAAGAAAATTTGTCAGGTACACGAGAGCGGAGGTACAACTATTAAATGTGAATCTGCATATTTTGACATTGGTGCATCACCTTTACTCTTATAGGAGGCTGAGCTCTGATATCTAGCAGTAAAGTTATGTAGGGGTAAATGGGCACGGACAACAAAAAAGAGACTCTGGATGCCATCAAATGAAATTTGTGACCAAACCTAAGGAAAACTTTGCAGTTGTGTATGAGGGTTATGACTATTACAAGGATTGGCTACTATTACCATTAAAAGGTGAATGATGCATTGTGTAAACCTGGAAGAAAACACCAGTCCTTCTCAAAACAAGAGGATATTGTAAAGAACAAGCTATTTCTTCAGCTATGTTTTCTTTTTGCCTTCCATTACTGGCAAAAAAGAGCACAGTATTTTACAGTTATTTCCAAAGGGTTCTCAAAATGTCTTCAGATTTCAGCAAACAGTTCTAGCATTGATCTTAAACTTAACTGACAGCTTTTAGAAACACTCTTAAGAACATCCTTGTGGTTCCAGTAACATCTTCTGGCATTAAGAGCTTTGCAGTTATGAGGCTGAATGAGAAGGGTGCTGCACGCCTGCGACAATGGTGGAGTCCTACGTATGTAGGCAGTCACCATCTAAATGCCTTGCGTCTGCACACCTCACAGAACAGAAAAAAGCTCTTTCTCCACTTATGTTAGCTAGGATCCTTTTTTCCTTGAAATGACTGCGGACCGACCTTAGGAAGGATGCATGTATCACAGCAGATCACAATCATCTGTCTTTACCATGTGCTGATCCTACTCCCATCCTCTACATGCAGTAGTATGAGGGCACAGTTGGAAATCTCATCACTTTGATCAAATATTATTACCAAGAAATATTGCTGGATGAGGAATTACTCCCATTGCTTCCAAGAATTGATATGATTACTAGTACTTTTCCAAATTCAAACATGTAGCCTATAAAAAAATCCCAGAGGAACACAACCACTGCTTGCCCTACCAACATATCCCAAATGAGACGAGATAGGCTGGTAGGCAAGCAACTGAGGTTACCTAGTTTCTGACTTATCAGACTATAGTAGTCCAAAACCACTTCAATTTTACCCTATTGATATGCCAGGGGGGAAAAGATAATTACTTGGATAGCAATGGCATAAATACAATTAGATGCTTGACCTTAGCATTTCTTGGTCCCATGCACAGATTTGAACCCATTGCTGAATTTAGAACAGTGAGGAAGTCCTTTTTCTCCTCCCCTGCACATACTCACAAGAACTGTGAGCTATTTGTACTTTTTCTGCAGCACTGATAAAGATCCTTCCTTAGGACAGATGTGATGCTATCCTTTGGAACTGATTCCCTCAGATCTGGAGGGGTGTTTTGAGTACTCAGCCTCAATCCTCTTTGTTATCTAATTCTACAGCTTTGGTCCTGGTTGCATGTGCTGTAAAATATCTTCTTTGAGACACCTGTTGCCTGGGATTCGCTCCCATGTAGCTCATGTTGTTCTCTCCTGAGCAGACACATGCAAGTTGAGAGTAACTGGAACAGTAAAGAAATTCTATCATGCAAACACATAGACAGATTATGTTGTAGACAGAAAGTCGTGCCATGTCAGAATTACAATATGAAAAATGTATTTCCATATAGCAGTTCCTAGGCAGCAGTCAGCTGCATCACTCAGGTGAAGTCTCTTTCCTTCATACTGCATTGCCCCAGCCCACTCCAAAGGATTACTCCAAAGCAAGTGCAGTTTTGACCGATCTGGCACAAGTGAACATAGTTACTAACTAGCAATAAGACTGAAAGCCCATCAAAGTCCAAAGAGATATTGCTACCAATTACCTCATCTATCTTTTTTTCAGTCAATTCTGAGCATTGGTTCCCATTTCCTGCAAACTATGTCCATCACAGACACAACAGTGAATCTTCTGCTCTATCAGTAGAAAGTTTAATGACTAAATGGGCTCAGGGACCGAGCTGTTCCCTTCCCCTCAGTGGTGGTGGGCCCCTCAGTGGGGCTGTGATGCTGCTAAGGCAATGGAGAGCAGAGAAGACCACAGTAGAAATGTTTAGTTGATGACTTAATGAGCCACCCACCCTCAGTTACAGAAGATTCTTCTTACAGTGAAATTTGACTGCAATGTGATCGAACCTGTGCTAAGAAGATCAAAAATGCAAAGTCAAGTCTAATTCTGCTGCTCTAAAGTGGGACCGAGCATTTCTAGACCACCCCAACTATTCTTACCTGCTCTTAAAACGCTCTGAAGAAGGAGATTCCTAAAAGCTCTGTGGGCTGCCTGTGCCAGCGCTTCATTCCTGTCTGTGCTCACAAGGACCTTCCTAACCTTCGCTGCCGCAAAGACGGCTGATTGCTGTGGGGGTAGCCTGCAGAAGCGGGCACGGCGGCTGCAGTCACACGCAGCTCCCCCAGTCCTCGCGTAGCGGACTGCCTCTCTAGCGCCATGAATTTGCAATTTCTCACCTCAAGTGAACCGAGCTGAAAAAAAAATAAGCCAGAACTCGTGTCCTGCAATACTCCCAGCATAGTGAGTATTTCAGCCCCCAAATGAGGAGGATGCCGACTCCATGCACACAGCAATTTGCTTTTATTTTTTTTTCTTATGCTTCAATTTCCTGCTGGTGAAGGGTGCCACACTAAAATCAGTGGAGAACAGAGCTCCCTGTACACAGCAGCAAATTCAGCCTAACACTAAAGAGACAGAAAGCCTCCATATGCCAAGTTGACTACTTCAGAACAGCCTGTTATCCGTTCCCTCCACCTGCCAGGCACACTGCTCCCACATCAGCAGCACCAACGACAGGCAAGCACGTAGCTGGATGAAAACCAGATTGATACAAACATCTCACTTTGAAAGCCTGGCTTTTGGCTCTGAATTACATATGCCAACACTAAGGCTAATGTTGGGAGGACTAGCAGAGGAAAGAGGTTATCAGATTTACTCTCCCTCTGCACCATGGTATGTTGCAGGGGAAGGAGTTCAAAATGACCTCTGTGACCGCCGCCAGCATCTGCATGGGAGCTGCAAAGACAAAGTCTTATCCCTGCCAATGCTATTCATTGAGAGCTTTCTCCGGGGGAGCAATGGATCTCCCCATCCCTTATTGGCATCCATTCTCCTGAAGGAACACTTCATATTCAGAAGGCATGATGGTATTCCCATTTCTAGCCCACATTCTTTATTCTTGAATCCTCATCTCCCATCTTTGGACTCATGGTTGCCATAACAGGCTACAGTTCAGACTATTTGGCTATTCTATGCGTGTCCCAAGCTCTTAGTAAGCCAAACTAAGGTCTGGCTTACCTACGTATCTCAGATGCTGCCTCGGGTGAGAAGGCAAGCAAGTCTTACCATTGGCAAAGTGGGGACACACCAGAGGAATATGACTTCCATAACCAGCTGGGCTCTTGGCATTGCAGCCTCTGCCTTCGGACCAAGCAGCATCACAGACAACACAAACCCAAACTGTACCAGTTACATTATCTGAATCCTTGGAAATGTAATCTGGGGATGCTCTTCCCTTCCTGCCATTTTGGCTAAGCCATTTTACCCCTTTTGGACCTGTCTTGGGAAAGATTTTAGGGAAAAAACCTTATTTCCCTAAAAAAAAAATGCAGGACTGCTGCTGTTGGCCCCAAGAAGCAGCAAGCAGAGTGAGCCTCAGTGCCACCGGCTGCCCAAGGAACAGCTTGGCAGTCCACTGATTTCTATGGAAGACAGCAACAGGGCAAGTGCAATGGAGAGAGCAGCACACAAGCGGTTAACGCATGCCCCTGAGAAATGTATATGCATATATTGCCTTATACAGTCAAAGCATCGTATGCTGACATTTTCCATTCAGAAATTAGAATTAAAAGCCTCCTAATAAAAACCTGATAAACAAGAAAAAGAAAATGCCACCAAATCAAGATTCATTTCTATCAGTACAGTGGACTAGAAGTCGTTCTTATGAGCAACATTAAATGTCATCATTACAGACCCAAATGCCAGCTGAGTTCTTTTCTTGCCACCTGTAATTTTAAAAGTACAACATTTCCCATGCAGGGAGCTCTGTGCTTGGCAAGCTCTGCATCTCCCTTCCCGGTGGGCGGCAAAAATGCTGCATGCTGAACTCTCTCATGTCATGCCATGGATTCACACAACGGATTAAAAAAAAAATCACAAACTACCCAGGCAGAACTTCAAATAACCTGCAAGGTATTTAACAAGCCAAAGGCAAAAACTGACCCTCAACACATAGAAGAGAAATGCCCTCTGCTTGACCCAAACCCAAGGTCTGCAAGAAGCAGTGTGCATAGGAAAGCAAAGGGATTACCATGGTGGGCAGCCTCAGTCCCTTAGCCTCCGGGCAAGGCTGACAGCTACTCTGGCACTGCAGGATTTTCCTCCAACTTCACTCCAGCTCCGAGCGGAACCGGTTAAAAATGACATCAGTGCCCGCGCGCCCCTGCTCCCCCTGCAGCGCTGCCCGAGGGGCCGGGGCGGCCGCGCTCCCCCTGCGTGGGCTCCCAGCACTGCCCTGCCCGGAGCAGGGCCTGGGGTTGGCAGCCCCCAGCAGCTGGTCCCGGCGCGAGCGAGCGCAGCAGCTCCCACCTCCCCATGGGCAATGCGCCACACGGCAGCTCCGCTTACGGAGGGCAGCGGGGGGTCTTCCTGTGCGAAGCAGCAGGGACAGGAAGACCCTGCGAGGGCTTCGGCCTTTTTCCTCGTCTTCCTCAACCAAGGGGACCCTCTCCGTGGCTTGCTGCATCCTCCTGCCGTTAGCACCGCAATCTACCTTTTTTTTTTTCCTCTCTTCCCTCCCCCCGAACGTGACATCATCAGGCGCCAATTCTACTTCTGGGGACAGGAAAAAGCAACCCCGGGCAGCGCTACCTATGACGAGGTCACCTAGAGGAGCCAGGTGAGGCTGGAGCCGTGCAGGCGGCTGCCTGGGACCACGCGCACGGCCACCCGAATCCGATAACGCCGCGCTCGCTGCAGAGCTGGGGACGCAGCTGCCATGCTGGGAGCAGGCTCTGCTCCAGCACCACTGGCTCCGGGCAGGAATAACCTGGCGGTGCCGGCACGCAGGTGCACCCAGCGTGGCACTCGGCACCCGCATGCCTTCCTGGAAGGACGCTGGAAGGCTGCCGCTGCCCCGCGGCACCTCCGCATCCACCCGCCTCCCCTCTCCTGCCCGCAGCCACGGAGCCGGCAGCGGTGGCAGCAGCAGCATCCACGGAGTTGGCAGAAGAGGAGAGTCTGTGTGCACGTGCATATGTGCAGCACATATCTTGGTATGCCTAGCACACACACCCCGAGATACATACTGCTATGAGTACAGCTGGGTGTTGTGGATGTCTCACCAGCAACACTGCACGCCTATCACATACTGCACTGGTAGCGGTGCTGCCCGGGTGATGCTGCGCTTGCCAAAGTGCACAGCTTTGCTTGGGTGCTACGTGTAAGTGTGAAACGCTGCACAAAAATGAGTATTTGATGGGAAGCTGTAAAAGTCTTGCTCAAGTCATACATCCGAAAGGCGTGTGCTATATAACACACGTCGTACAATGGTACTCCTTTGCATGCCAAAAAATGCCTGACGCGAGGGAGACTGCAAGAGTCTCTCAGCGCTGAAATACCCAGCAGCCCTCTGAACAAGGAAAGTGCCACTGCATTCCATGGCAAAACTGAGGTCCAAGGAAGTGACGTGATTTGCCTTGGGCTCCATGGAAAATCCACCATAGAGACAGGATGGCAGCGAAAAGCTCAAGGAAGTCAATGAAAGCCTGCTTCAGTATTAATTCAGAAAGCCCTCCCTTCTTCTCTCCTTCTTAATGCATGTGTTTTGCATATGGGTCAAGAAAGACACTTCTATCAAAGACCAAAGTCATCCAGGATGGGCCATGCCCGAAAATCTGATGCATTTTTGTGAACTAGGACAGATGAACAACTAGGAAGAATAAAGAGTTGTTCCAGAAGTGTGTTTCCAGTGGGAAGAGCATGCCTGCCTTTATCCAGCGCACATCCCTACAAGTCCTCTTCTCCAAACCACCCCGCTGCCAAGCTACACACAAATCGCGAAAAGACTGGCATCTGAAACCTTGCAAGGATGACTGTGCTGGATTGGCATATGGGACAGTCTTCAAAGCTCCTCCACTGCGAACCTCCAGATGAATACAGAAGAGCGAGTCCTTTGCCACCACTCATTAATCAAACTTCAATTTTCGTGCTGCTCTGACACGTATATCACAGTCATTAGCAAAAGGGATTTCTATTTGCATGTAGCGGCTTCAATAACATCTCTAGAGAATACAATTGATTATATATCATATAATAGATCAAAAGAGAGAGAGGCGGAAAACAAGCCAACTCAGCAGATAAATCTCTTTATTTTCCTTCTAAATGAAATAAATATTTAACTTGGTATCTTAAGGAAAAAAGGCAAGCCTGCAGTCTGCTCCCATCCTCGTAACTTTGAAGCTCCCTGGTCAAGTTTGCCACAATATCCTTGTTACTTTAGAATAAGCTTCCTACACATTTCAAGCAGTAAAAAGGAGGCAATAAATTAATGTCGTCATCACTGAGGAGAGCTAGATACAACCCAAGCCTTGCCCTTTCTGCCGGTTACCTGCTGACTAGCTGGCTGTGGGCTAGCAGTGGCCCACCTATTCTGGGAGAGGAAAGGGTCTCTGCAGCTCTTGTGATGAATGAGAGGGCTTTGGAGAGGAAAGGACAACTCGCAGGAAGTCTTTACTTCTCATTTTTCTTCAGTTAATGGGACAGTTTGTTTCGTGTTTCTGTTCTCTTTGCCTGTCTCTGCTTCTCACTGGTCTATCAGCATGTTGGAGTTGTAGATGCATTTTAGCCCCGAAGAAATGTCTGAACATGATGGCAGAAATCTTAATCTGTAGTCTGGAGCAACAGAAAACTGCCGACGGATTTGTTGTCTCCCAAAACAGGCAGCCTCCATGTTCTCCTTACTGCGAGATGTTTTTGTAGGAAAGCAAATAAAAACATCCTTGTAAGAAAGAACAAGAAAACAAAGTGCAGAGCTGGAGGTGGAAAGAACCCAACACAAACAAATGAGGGCTGAAACTACATCCAAAATCCAGATCAAAGAGGAAGAAACCCTTCCAACTAAAGTGGAGCTTTCCCCCTGCCTCTGATCATTTCCTGTCCTATTATATTGATATTTAGCAAGAGTTTCACTTGGTGAATGCTGATTCTTTCAAATATTTGGATGACAGAAACAAAGATCAATAACAGCTCAAATAAATGAGCACACAGTAAGAGTGCTGCCTTTGCGGCTGTGTTTTCGAGTGGGCTGGGGCATTTCCAAAGTAAATGGGGTAGAATATGCTCGTATTATATGAATTCTCCACTTGCTTTAGCAAATGCACCTCATACAGGATTTCCAATATCCTCTTTAATCTAGTACTATGCCTCCCACGAGCACAGT